CAAGCTGCTTGCAAAACCCACAACTCGGCAGCCTTGAGCAGGATGGTGTGTTGCGGCAGGCACGACTAAGCTGCGAAAGCGCATCGGCACTGGCGACAGTCCTGGACATGATGCATCGTTTCGGCATTGACACCGCTCTCCTCTCTTACGGGCCAACAACCATGGAGGTGCTGACGTTGTGAAGGCTCAATGCTCAATGCCCTGAAAAGCGTTCTCGGCCTCGACTCGGCTGGGTGCACTCCTTTTGTACTGGAACTCCTCGAGCCGTCCTCAGAGGTCATGAGGAGGCGATCTACACACTCTACATCTCATACTGCTCGGCTCTGCACACGTCGACTTTGGATCAGAACACTGCTCCATGATATTCCATGTCACCGGACGTTGCCCAGAATCGTTGCACAACCTACTTCCGAAGTGCACAATGCACACACCAGAGTTGGTGCCGGGCAGAACTCCAGCGTGGACAGGTTGCCATGCGGCGCCTTGCAGGGCTGCACAATTGCAATGAAGAGAAGTCCGCTTTTCTGGTGCAACATGGAATGACCCATTCAGGGTGCTTGCACCACCAAAGCAAGCGCCTTGCTCCTGAACGCGGTGTTCGGGAAGACTAGCAGTGACTAGCCGATTCGTGGGACGCTGTGGATCTCTTGGGTTTCACTACGCATGGAACAGGTCGCACTCCAGCAAATGGCACTTCTCCACGCGATAGAACAAAGCGTGGCCACACCGTTGGTGCTTCTTCTCAGCGCAGACTCGCAGAAACAGTGGCTAAAGCCGAGGCCCTGATCTGGACGCCCACCCGAACCACAGCTCGAGAACCCCATCGCAGGCTCTAACCAATTCCTCGCCTGAAGTCATGCCGACAGCTTGGGAGGAGTCCGCGTGCACGCAGACAGGTGCCTGCAGCTCTACCGTTCTTGATGCTTCATTGCGTTTCCTGCTTTGAGCTCCAGTCCAACTAACCCATCAGTTGATTAACCCTTGGACGTCACAAACTCCTGTAGAACATGCTGCGCATGATGTGCATGTTGGCACTTGCCCCTTGCCACCGACACGAGATATGCACCATGAAAAGGGCCCGAGCACGTTTTGCACACCTTAGACCCTTAGAGTCGCCTTATGTAGAACGTCAGAGATCCCAAAGCGAAAGCGCCGAAAGCACCTGGCCCTCCGCGGGAGCCGCGAGGACTCGAAAAGGCCTGCGCAGGGAGACAGCCCTGGACTACACGCCCCGGGGCCATGAGCACTCATAGACGGAGGGTCGATATCCACGCCACTTCTGACCCCAGATGAAGCACCACGATTTTGCTGGTGCAGCAACTGCAAGGTGAGTTTGTCGGTTTGCAGCATCGCCAAAAGCTCAATGTCCACCATCTGGCCTGAACCTTACTTGTCAAACGGGTTGCATCCGCAACTGCGGAAGAGATGTCTGGATGACAGGCCATCGGCTGACACAGAGCGTCGCATCCCCCCGAACACTTCTCTGCTCAATCTGCAGCTGCAAGAGTTTGGCCTCTCTCCCGACCTCCTCGTGCAACTGACAAACCGAGTGTTTCAGGTAGGTGCACGTGGCCGCATGAAGATATGGACACGTCCCCGCAGAGAGCATGAACGATACTTGAGTCAACTCAGGTTACCTCCATTATGCAGGCTACGGCATTACACTCGGGCTCGGTGGTCTACTTGGGACAGAACATGACAGAACCCAACCGAAAACAGAAAAAAGAAAATAGAAGGGTGCAGCGTACCGTACTACAGATTGTAGCGAACTACGTGCAAACATGTGGTTAGTGTCTTCTCAAACTAAGTGCCCACATCCTCCCGGCGGCAGCCAAATGAATGCATGGAAGCTAGCACGACAAAGTGCCAGAAAGCCTTCACTGCTCGAGCAAATGGTCGTGGAACTTTGTGCTGGGGGCATCAGCTTTGCGCAAACGTCTTTTCCGGTCTCAGCCCTCGTCTGGTAGGAAGCAGGTGGTCACTGCTGCTGTTGCTTTGCTTACTCATCGCTATTGCGTTGTCACAAGGGCCAGGTCATGTCAGGCAAAGCGTGTCTGTCACACTCTCACCTGCACAGCTGCCGGATGTGCAAGGTAAATACCCCGTCGGCATCAATCTGGGTGGTCGACAGCCACGGTTCAGAAACCGCTATGTGGTCAAGTGAGAAATTGTGTCTTGTTTGCCCGAAGCTCCGTGAAGGTAATGTAAAGGTATACGGTATGGTACACTAAGTTACATCTATGTTCTCACCGAAGTTAGACTTGATTCTAGGCTCACTGCCACTGCTTGCGGTAGTGACTCGTCTTCTGTTGGGACAGGTCTAAAGCTTGAAATCAGGCATCCAATCGAGCACCCAGCCTGAACAGTTTCTTTACAAGAGCCGACAAAATCTACATGCAGAATGAGGGAGGTCGCTGAAGCGGCATATTCTGACGATTCATCAAAGCCTCCGCAAGTCAATTCAAGGGTCTGGCTCCTTTTGGCAACTGTGAGGCAACGATGTCCGTGCACTGGGCATGGTGATGGCATGTAGTGCCAGCATAACGTACATTTTAGGATTGAACAATGGCTGCAGACAGGGCCCGTGTGTCAATAATTCCTCGCCGACAGAGTTTGCCACGGTTGAGGAGATTGATAGGGGGGACCATAGCAAGCACAACGTAGACCAAAGTCGAGTCCTGAGTCCAGGGAGTCTCAGCGGGATTAACCTGCTTGAGATGTATGTGGACAACAGAGAAACTAGTATCGAAGATCTGGAGCACAAGCCTTCAGGAATTGCCAAAAAACGAAACGACAGCCATTCCTCATGAAACTGATGATTACCGAGCCTGTTTAGGCGCGGTTTTGGGCCAAATGGCGCATGCCCGAACCGTCACCCGCTTTCGGCTCGATCTTCATGATCCCAAACAGCGTCACATGACAAGCTGAAGAAAGGCTACGACTGAATCTTGTTCGACATGACCGAGAAGTTCGAGCAGAAAGCCGGCTAGTCTAACATGGACGTGGCAGCTTGGACAGGTACTGTCTCCAAGCTGCCCGTCGAGTGGGCCCAGCGGAAAAAGGGAGCTAGGGCGCTGCACGGAACATTCCAGCTTCTGCACAGCCGAGTCGAGTTGACATGTTTGACTCTAGCAGTTTCTTCGACAGTGCGACCAGAAACCCAGGCATGGCTGCAGCATGCTGGGCAGAATCCATAAATTCGACAGGCACCCTCAGCAAACAAGTGGCCGCAAGGAGGCAACTTACAGTAGCGGCACAAGTGCTTTCAGCCCATCGTCCAAGTTCCTAAATTCGGCTCTAGCCATCTGCTCGTCCACACATGCCGGAGTGTGTATAGATCGAGGTGTACAAAGCTGTGCATAAAGATGGGACTGAACTTCAGCCTGATCATGGTGCAGCTCCCTGCCACCGCATCGTACTTGCCGGGGGCCCTGCCTGCTGTGCAACTTGCCAGTGTAACAGCGAGCGGCTTCAGCCGCAGATCGCAGGCAAACTGCGAATCAAACTGGCACAGACCTGATCCAAGTCTCGGTAGGCTACCTTGCCAGCATCCCCGTGGCAATACTTTTTGCCACCCTGCCAGCAAGAAATGTTTTGAATCAGAGTGCACATTAGCAACGTAGTGCTGTGCCCTGGAGGTTTCTAAGTTAATTTGAGACACAGCTTGTCAGGAAGCAACAGACCCTGGAAGGGTCATGAGTGTCGCCTGTGCCCAGAGCCGGTCAGGATGTGCCTAGAGGTCACCGGTAAGCCCGATATTGGCCCTCACACGTCACCCATCATTTCAGAACAGGTGGAGATGGGGCTGTGAAGAGCCGTCAAAATGCCAAAAGCCACAGAGGCTGGCACCAGCAGATTGACGCTGTTGCAATACAGTGCCTCGTAAAAGATCTTTCTCGGGCTAACTAGAGTGTGCACAGCCTCAACACCATGGCTGTGCTTAGACGGACCATGGCGACAAAATTCATGCAGTCGAGATCTTACAGCATCAGGTCTTGAGCCCCTTGCATACCCACAAAGTTTGGTCGCTAAACTGAAGCACTATTCCAGCTCGTTGCCTTTCCCGACCTGCACGACAACTCCCGCGCTGTGTCCTTTTGCCGAACTGCGACCGCGGGCGCCACAGCACAAACGGTAGGGAATCAGTGGCCAGACGGCCTATGTCCCAGCACTCAGCGCCTCAGGGAGACTGAACGGCCGGCGAGTGCGGGCGAAGTGCTTCACCAGCCGCGAGGGTAATCAAGACCAGAATCCTCAAGGCCACAAGCAACCGACAAAGTAAACGTGAAGTGGGATTACGCCGATTGCTTGCATGACCACAAGATGCTGTCAGAAACGGGCACAGAAGCATCCTGTCTATGACACCGGCTACTGGCCAACTTGCATACAACTGCTTTCCTTTCTGAAACCGTACTGACATGCTTTTGAGTGCATTTATGCCGCTAATGTCAAGATTCGGTGCCATTTGCAGCATGTTGTCGGGAGTCATCTCGGCTTTGGTCCACAAGGCCTCACTCGCCAATACAGGAGAAGCAGGGTGGGGCAAGGTCGCCGCCCGTATCGTTGGAGGATTTTTTCGTTGTCATTGGATTAAGCACACAGCCCCGAATTCATAGCTGCTCCCGACTCCCGCCGTGCTCAATCTTTTAGCTGGGATGGCCGGCCACAAGTGCAGAGCATGCTCCCGCCATGTCCACAACGGCCTCCAAGGATGCACTGCGCCATGCTGCATGCACAACGCAGAAGAACATGCAGAGCTAGCCGCTTGCATGTGTCAGCCTCACACGACTACTGAAACCATTCCGGAATTCGACCACACCACGATGTTGGGAAGCAGAGTGCAATCCAGCCCTCTTCTGGCAGCCTCTGATACAGTACCACTGAAAGCACACCTGCAAGTTCATTACGCGCGCCGCGCCTCCAGGCCATCCACCAGCTCATCGACGCCTCCGGTTCACATGAAGCTCTGTCCCGTAGGCACAACCAAACACTTGATCTCCTCAAGTGTCTACACGAACAACCAGCATGATGCAGGATGCCATGCGCAAGATGGCGGCCTTTAGCCGATGCCCTGTGCAGAGCTGCTGGGCACCATGACATGCTTTCTGAGTCGGCGGTTCTATCCTATTTCTCCTGATGGCCTGTTCGGGTACGCAGCGGTCCGAGCAGCTTGTGTGGAGGTGTATCATGGGCTGTGGGATTAGCGCCAAGGTGCAATTGACGAACAATGCTCGACATTGGTCCATCTTCTCCTCGGATCGGCACGAGCGGTGATTCTGTAGAAACAAGTGGGATCCACATGATGCGTGCAAGTCCTGCAAACAGGCGCTGTCTCAATGAGAGAAAAGAAAACTCCTCAGCCCCTGTCTCGCACGGAGGTGTGCTCTTTCTGCAGGATGCAATGAAGCCCCTCGTTGAAGTGGGTGCAGCTTGCCAGGCCTGCTCCAATCAAACTTCCCATACATCGCCAAGATGTAAGTCTGCAGCCCCTGAATCCTCCACTTCTGCAACATTTTTTTTACTCCCGATACATGGACACAGAATTCTCGAAGTGGTGTGGCCTTTGCGCTTCGCTTGCAGCTTCAGCGCCTCACCTCCCCAGCAGGCCCAAGCTCCCGCAAGACCAGTGCGGTCGCTAGACTGCTAGTCGAAGCTTATATGGGCGCTAGACTCCTAGACGACTCCGAGTGCGGCACAGCTGCAGGTCACTATGGCGCTACGCCCACATGATGTTTGACAAGTCACAGACCGGAGACAGCCAACCTCAGCTGTTAGTTCAGACCTAGGCGCTGCTAGGCACGCAAGCGGAAAGGACAAGTGACAAGATCTTGATCCCGGGTGCAGCTGGTATGTTACAGACCATGGCACCATCTGCAGAAGGCTGCTCGGGAGCGCTCTGAGCGGGGCTGGGTTCGCAAACCTTAGCGCGGTGATCGATCTTGGGCAACAGCTGCGCATGCTGCGCCAGCCGCGCGAGTAATTAAGACCTTCTGTTCTTTGAAGATCCGGGCGAAGAGGAAGAGAACACGGATCTGATGTAGTACTGATTGTCAATGCAACAGACAAAGGCTGAAGCAACCTGCGGTAGCTTTGCACGGTCTCGTCACTTGGGACATCCTGACGGAGACTTCGGCCGGGCAGCAACTGGCTGCTCCAGGCATCCTGCTTCCTGACAGCACGGCAGTCCCAGTCTGAGAAAAGAGTCATGCTGCAACTGCTCGCTGCTCGCCATTCTCATAGATGGCTTCGACAAGTGCATCATGAGGCATTTTCGGGAAAAGCTCCGGGAGTTGCTGTTCTCAGCCTTCCACACGTAGTTCGACCTGCTACAAGGCTGAGATGGTCCTCGAGCATGGATTGGACCAGTGAGACCAACTCCTTGTCTTTCACGTTCACAAGGAGCCTTGGCAACAGACTTTTTGCGCCAGCTGGCGCCGGGCTGAGAAGCAGGGAGAGAAAGAGCGACTGAGAGTGGGAGTTTGTCTGTGTGGGAGCAGAGGGCGGACACACAGAGGGGGGGGTCGACCCGGTTTCGGCTCTTGATGCAGAGCTGCTCGCGAAGCTTTGCAGCATCCCAAGCCACGTAGGTGCTAGCTTCTGCAGCAATGACCTCCGCAAACCAGGATCAGAACTACCCGCATGGATGCTGAGCAATGTCGCAACACCGCATGTGGAGCACACAGGAAAGAGCCAAGCCTCCTCTGCTGAGCCTTTGCGAATGATTGTGGGCGGAAGCACTTGCACCTGATCTCTCGGGACAGGCCGCAGAGCCAGGCACATGCTTTCAAGTGTTGGCACGCTGGCAGAGAAAATCGCACGACGCTGTTTTGGGTAATGATTGCCTTCCTGGTGGTGGATGCTTACATCTTCCAGCTGCTTGCAAAGCGGCTGCTTGTCCATGTTCGTGAATGATCGCCTTGCCGACAAGTAACAACGCCACCACTTCAAGATCCAAGTGACAGAACTTCCGTGGCATGGCGCCGGCCTTCCCGCGGACCAGAATTCGCAACTCCTCGCACCCTGTCGCCAGGAGCGATTGGCCAGCAGCTGCTTCACCTCACCAGCACGGGTGAATCGCTGGGACACTCACATTCAGACGACCCCTGCTTCACTACCTCTTGTAGATCCAGTTCTGCCGGAGGGCCCCAACGGCAGCCGCCACAGGCCAGGAGCTTGTGAAAGCAACTGGTCGAACACCCCTGCACGAGAAAGAGACTCCAGACTATTGCCGGCAGCATTTTGGGTTCTGGGCTGCCTCGAGATTCTTGCCGTGATTGCATGCTCTCTACCAGTTTTATCCGTGTAGCATGCAAAACTCAGAGCAAACCACGTCCGACGCATCGCCCAGCACAATCAACATCCACCGTTTACCAGCATAACTTAGGATCACTTAGGACAAAAGCCTGTATGCGTTCGAATGTTCGGCGACTGCGTTTGCGCCACGAATTCGTTTGGGACGCGTGCCTTGCGGTGAAAGCTTTTGGCATAAAGCAAGGCCTGCAGCCGATGTGGGAAGACGTAGCTCCAGCAGGATCTCACGGTCTCTCACAAGTTGGAGGGGCAAGTTGCGCAGCTACTAGCCGACGCCTCGTTCTCGTCCAGAGCGACGAGCTCCTACTCCCAGGCATGATTCGTACCCATTGACGAGCCAGGTTTGATGCTGTGGCTGTAGAAGCGAAGCTCCAGGACGGTCCTGGGAGCCAAGAGCTTTCGCCGCGCCGAGGATGCCGGAGATGAGGACGGGCCCCATCGGTCCAGACTCGGCTGGCTGTCGTCAAGTAAACAATTATCTACAAGTCTACAACTGACCCATACTGTGAAACGCCCGGGTGCCTGAAAGGATGTAAGACTTCCGTGCTCAAGAAGTCACCAAAGGCACCAGCTTGGAAGAGGTCGTGGACGGCACCGCCGAAGACGTCAGCAGCTGCGCGAACCTTCCCATGGCACAGGCATGGCACTGCGATGCGGCCTCAGCCACATCGGAGTCCCCTGCTGCGTTGGGACAAGCCCGAACCCCGAACCCCCGGCCTGTTCGACCCACTGGACAGCTGTGTTCATGTCCGCCGCATCTGAGACGTGCCTAAGACGAAAAACCACCCAAGTATAGCGGCAATTCTTGAGGCAGTCGTGGAGGAGGGCGGGGCTTGGTACTCATCAAGACAAACCAGGGTTCAACGGGGCCAACGAAACTTCCACTCAGCATCAGTTGTGTCGGCTGCGAGACAGCCACCTTCTGTTTGTGGCCCGTGGAGGTTGGGATTTATCACGTTCTACAACTTGCCCCGGCCGGCAAGGCCTGCAACGTGTAGACTGTGTGCGCAAGTCAAGCGGACCCCGTTCGGAAGAACCCTGACTCTCGCCGGAATGGACTGCGGCTAAGATTCGTGTGAGCAAGCAGTACCTGCAGCCATGCAGGCATGTAATGTTCTATCTTCGAGCGCACTGCAGGCCACATAACACACCCGCACCCACACTGTCACACAGTGATAAATATATATATATATATGTGTGTGTGTATATATATATATAAAAAATATATACATATACATATATATATATATGTATGTATATATGTGCATACATACATACATACATACATACATACACATGCACATGCATACATTCATTCGTACATACATACACATACATCTTTATATACATGCATACATACATACATACATACATACATACATACATCCATGCATGCATGCATGCATGCATGCATGCATGCATGCACACATATACACAGACACACATACACAGACACATACACAACTTACAATACATCACATCACATCACGTCGCGTCACATGACATGACATGACATTTAAAAATGGGTGTCGAGTTTGCCGAGCGGATGCATTGGAGGGGGTCATGAGCTTCATTCATGCTCCCAGCACGATGCAATTCGGCTGTTAGCTGCTGAGTCTGCAAGAGGGTCACCATAGCCGCGCCAGCGACTGTTGCAGCCAACTCTGCTGCATCCGCCACCTCAGACCCACCCCTTGCCGGCTACGAGCGAGATGCTCTTGCGGCAAAATCTGCTGAAAGAGAACTTCAGCACACGGGCTCTCCGAATCTTGATTGCTTCTCATGGCACCCTGGAAGCATTCTTGTCACCACAGGCTGCGGTGAGAACACCTGGGTGGGCGTCGGTGCACGAATTCCTTCCTTCTGCTTCACCCTAAAACTGGGCAACATTTGCGCATACCCCAGAGCCCAACGAGCAGCAGTCATCGGGAAGAACTGGCAACGGAATTGTACATTGCGAGTAAGGGTGAGCAAGCGCAGTCGTTCGTTGCACGAAACCGTCATAACTTACCACGGCACGAGAGTCCTCATTCACAATTCTGTTCAAAAATTAGCCGGAATGGTGCGTGACGCCAACTTGGGCAAACGCATAAAAACCTAGACATTAAGATTAGGATCTTACAGAAACTCTGAGAATTATGCGCTGTGCGTCGATCATTGTATGGTGCTGCAAGCTACGGGACTTTTGGGTCTTCTCAGCCTCGCCATGGGGAATCAGCTACCAAATTCTGCAGGCGGTGTAACAACGCAGTCAGCAAGAACTGAGGCGTTAAAGGGTTGCAGCCCCCTGTGCGAATACAGATGCTAGATGGGTTGTGCTTGTAGACTTGTGAAACCTGTCTAGCCTTTGTTTCTGCTGAGCTTCGCTTGGCCCTGGTGGATGGACTGCCTGTCAAGCAAGGTAACAACTTCCCCAAATTAGGAGGGTCGGACTGCACTGCCAAGAGCAACCCAATGATCCCTACTTGACTGCAGTGAGCACTCTGAAACCTACGCCGCTGCTTGCACATTCTGGAGCACTCAGCTTTGTGCACGGGCCGTGCCGAAGCAGTGCCGATGTCAGTTGCGGGGTGGAACTGCTTCCATCTGCTTCCGACAACGGCAGAGAGTCTCATCCCATCGGCCGGCCTGGCTCCTGGGCCGCCTGCGTTTCCAGCACTCCATGCGGCGTAGCATCAGTACGAGTATACACTATACAGCATTCAAGATCTAGCGCCATTCGTTACAGTTCTTTCGGTATAATGATTGGGAAAAACGCTCTTAAGACTGGCCTGCAGGAGGCTGCTCGTCACCTCGACGGCATTGCTCCAGTCGAAACTATCCTCCATCTTGTCCTGGCAGCGGGGGTGCCGAGGTGAAAATCGAGTCACAGCCACGACGCTGTTCAGAAGAACCGAGCCAACACCTAGCAAGTCTTAGCAAGTCCTGTTGGGGGAGCTGGGACACCTACATACCTGCACACCTGCGCATTATGATGCTGAACACACACGTAGCTTCCTTGCTGAGTCGTTGCTTCAGGTGTTTCATAGGGCTCCCTCACCGTCCTTGGCACCGGCAATCGCTGTATCCAGCTGGTCCTTCGAGACGCATGCACGCCTTCTTGGGCACACTTTCATCTCACGGAGGACGGCAAACATGGCTCTTAAAATAGCTGGGTGCAGGTCTTCCCATATGATGGGGTGCAAATTCTGCCTCAACTCCCTTCCCAGAACACCCATAGAAGAACCAGTGACCAGTGCCTCTCCAATGTCTGCTCAAGTTCCCTGCATGTTGATTCAAGTTCCATTCGATGGTGAACTTCTCGATCGTCTGAGAAAAACAAACGAAATTTTGAAACCTAGGCCTCAGCAGATGCGACCGGTCTGTCCTGTAGATTTTGCGCGCCTGAGCATGTCAGGCCACCCGTGGAGCAGAAGTTGACAAGCAGTGACTAGCAGTCACCAACGAGAGAAAAATCATGAAATTCAAGAATAAGTGTATCACTTTGGATCGGCTGTTCTGGCACTGACATGCAAAAGGCTACGTGGTTGCCTGACAACCTTGCCGCCCCTGCCCTCTCTGAAATGCACGTCCGAGCACGCTCGGCAGCCGCCAGGTCCTGTCATGCTTGACGAAAACGCCTACTGGGTCCATCGCGTGCTTGTGCATGTTTCTGCAAACAGTTGAATGTCTTTTCGGAGGGGGCTTCGTCACGACAGGGTCCTTTCGCTCCAAATGCAACGAATGCCCGTTGTTCCTCGGCAGTTCATTAGTCGTTGCAGTACCCAAGAGCTCTGCTTTCCGCACAACGACGGTTCTAGGCTGAATGGACTTTTGCCTGCGGCCAGGTCACGGTGCCAAAAAGCGGAGCAGCGCCTTGGACCTTTTTGCGAGTTGCAGGCGAAGCACACATTGCACAAAGAATTCTTTGATGGATCGGGCGACAGGGAAGACGCCCGATGAGGGAGGTCACACACTAAGCACTCTTTCCGTGCCCGGCAAGTCTGGCCAAACGACTCTGCAGCACCCAGCTTGATGTTGAAACTGTGCAAGGCCTTGGCTTCGGTCTGTTGCAGAATGAAGCTGCGACTTGCAACTATCAGTGAAGGACCATGAGCAGACCTGGCTGCAGAAACACGGCATTGTCTCGATATCTTGACTGCTGCCAAGATTCCGCTGAGAACTCGTCCACAGACAAAATGCCTGAAGTGGGCAGAAGACAGCCGAGTGCTGAAAGGAGGGCGGATACAGCTGGCGTGGCAGATCTTTTCTCCGGAGTCTACCAGATTACGCAGCAGGTCCTGGGCTCGCGTTGCATTCTCCTTGCTGCTAGTGTTTACTGTTTACGCACGCTTACAGTTTACACATTTCCCGGAAGTCTTTCTCAAGAAGCGGGCCGTCGCCGTCGAGGTCGAAGCGTTCGAAGGCTGTGGCCATCACAACGCCTTGAACTGCAGCAGAGCACTGCAGCCGCAGCGAAAGCTGAACAAAATCGGCTATGCATGAGGCACGATCCAGCAGAATGCGCCATCGCGAGCTCGAACAAGCTTCTTGCTTCCTATGGTGCCGTCCCTCTGACCTAATCAACCCGTCCAGACTCCGACACAGTGCCTTCAACATCTAAACATCATCAACAGTGCATGGATGCATGCTACCGCTGCTGTATGAATGCCCTGCCACTTAAATTAAATGTCGGCTGCCCTTTACTGGATCGATGATCTTTCTGTTTCCTGTCGGGGACTTACCGGCGAAAAGGAGACTGCCGCCCAAGGCTCGGAGTTGTGCCAAGGTTAGCTGATGGTGCGTGCCACGCAAAGCCAACAGAAGATCGCGGGTGCCCACCTTCAGTGTGCCGTCGCAGCTAAAGGGCTAAGGGGACATCTCAGGCGTATGCACCGACTACTGGTTGAAGTCGTATGCCAGCGTTTGAGCAACAGATTGCAAAGCGCATGTGTCCATCCGCTTCTAGTCCGACTTATCTTGCGGAATTGGACCGAGTGATTTCGAGGGCCCGAGAGTGTCTGCTTCGCAAACCAACTAAGTTTGACTTGACTCTTCATACTCTTCTAAGACCTGCTGGCATTATCTGCCTGAAACGAGATCAACAGAGCGCCAGCAATGGTGCAAACATGTGCTAAACAAAGTGACCAGGAAGTTTTGGGGAAGAGTCAGGCAAGTTTGGATGAACCCCGTGCTTGGGGAGTCTTGGGAAGCGTAGCTTCGACTTTCTGGTGATCTTGCGACCCAGGTTGTGTCACATTGGTCGGTGTCTGTCCAAACCATGAACGAAGGTGTCGGATGGAGGGCTGCAGTGGTCCATATACTGAGCCCCTGGATTCACGGATTGCCTACGCAGCCTCTCCAAACACTGACATGCTCGGACACCTGAAGTTGACTGAAGCTACATTTGCCGTGTGCTTGGCGGCTGCCCAACCAAAGACCGAACATGTGGGGCCATGGCGGCTCTCTTGAGTCAAGCCGCAGCAAACGATTGACGGCTCAGCGGTTCCTCCAGGGCTTTGAAGTGAATTGAACAGGCTTGAAGACAGCTGGTCAAACTTCGCAACCTGTTGAGCAAAAGCTGCTTCACGTCATGTCGTCCCACCGGTCGAGCTTGAAGTCTCTTTTCAACTCCACAACTCCACCAGCTACGAACACAGACCCCTGATGCGCGAATGCTGAAATGCGTTCTTGTGTCTAACGGGGCCGAGGGCAACCGAAAGATGCATTCAGACACCGCGGTCATGGCACAATGCTGGCGTCTCCTTCCCGCTCTCGGTCAACATCGTGTGCAGCTGCTCCGCATCACCAGCCTAGTCTCAAGGCTTTGAAACTGTTGCCAACGTTGTATGCTCGAACAGAAATCGATTCATTTGCCGGCGAGCGTCGTGAAATCCGACCTGGCAGGCCGCTCGGGCCAGGCTACGTGCTGGTAAGTTTGCCACAACGGTCCAACTCGCATCTGCCGTGCTGCAAAGGCACCTGATATCTGCGATTCAGCTCTTTCACAGCCTTGGCTTCTCTGTGCAACTTAGCGAGACAAGCAACATGTCGAGTCGTGGGGTGGCACAACCTCCGCCTTTTCCTGGCCCCGCAACTCGCAACTCACACCGACTCACACCTGCTCCTTGTCATGCATCCCGCTCGCCTGTGGTATGTTTCGACTGCAGGCAGGAAGCTTCTTGCACTGTTGCGAAGCTTGCGTCGCCTCAGTACGATGCAAGAGTCACAAGGAACCCCACAAGACCTTGCAACTACTCCTCGGCACCAACGCTTGACCTTGCACCACTACCAGCCTTTGCATGGTCTTGCATGTTGCTGCATCGTGACGGCTCACGGCTCATCTGTCGGAATCTGTCGGAACCGGTCAGTTTCTGTGTTCTTCCGGCCGAGGCACCCTCGGAAGAACGCGGCAAGCCGTCGTAAAGCCTGCAACGGGAGCTTCGTTTCGGAATTTCGGAGAGCCGTGCTGGCGGAAAGCAGAAACCCCGACAGCATCACACTTGACCTACGCAGCGAATGCCTGGCCAGCTCGGTGATGCCCGGAACTTTCGCCACATCAATCCTGCACTGCAGGACGCGTCAGGTCGCAACAGGTCAGCTGCCCTTCCAACAGAGCTGGAACACATTATGTACAGATCCCGCAAGTCATCAACAGTCACGACCATTCCCTCTGTCACTGGTCCCCCATTCCTTCCCAAAAAAAAGTTGTTCTGTTGCGACTTCGAAGATTAAATGCTGATTCGCCTCTTGGTTGGAGAGGACGTAGGCGAGGAAGCATCGGCATCGTCTTCTGGATGGCCTGCACCGCGACAGAGCATTCATGGTTCCATGGTGGACGCCATGTCTGGCACTGCAAGTGGGCACCGGCAAACTACGAAAGCTCCACCTGCTGCTTTGCAGCTGTGAGCGGAAAGCCGGGACAGCAATGTCGGGCAGGCAGACCTGAGTTGTGGGCCCAGGCAAACACAAAACTTTTGCCGCACCAAAGTTCCCTCACAAACTCCGTCCAGGCGTCATCTCTGCTGGCAGAGTGTGCACACGTGGCATTCGACGGCGATATCGGGCGAAGTTGTCGGGCGACTCCTCTGACTCCTCTGTGGGGAGACCGCCAGGAAACATGCGAACTTGAAGCGGGCAGCAGTCCCAGCCTCGCTTAGGAGGGAGTGAGACTGCCGCTTCAAGAACATCAGGCTTGGCCTGATCAAACTCTTGCACAGGCGCCTGACCAAGGGTGGGATTAACTCTGCTATACATCGTGCTGGCGCAGTCGAGTTGCTTCGACATTGGCATCGGCGCTGCAGGTGCCGTGACGGCATTCGACCTGTGCGTGGATGTCCATCTCTTCATACATACATATGTATGTATCTGTGTGTATATATATAAATACAGATATGGACTGATATAGATATGTATGCATTGCCAGATATAGATTTTTCCCTCGCGCTCTGCTGAGGCTGCGAGGTGACGATGGCCAACCAGCTGTTTGAAAGGACTGCGAACCGAGCGTGCACACGTCATGCACTCGATTAAGTACAGGTCCAAGAGCCATTGATATACATATTAGATACAGGCATGTGTATAAGTTAAATGTAGATATGGATATACATACAGATCTCGATACAGGCAGAGACACAACTTTGGATATAGAAATAGATAAGATACAGACATGATATAGACACAGGTATAGATCTAGATGATACAAACGCAAGACTGAGACCAAGATGTAAATTATGATTGTTGCGGCCCTATGCCAAGCACTCGCAGGTCCCTGTACTCACAGTGAGTAGGAAAGAAAGCGGAGGACCTGAGGAGCTTCTTGCACGTTGGCAACCCCACCAGCTTGTTTCAGACTGGAAGGTTTACTGCCACCAGCCTGTGAAGTTGAAAGATGGCGTAAGGAAAAACAGAGGAAGGAGTAGCTGGGGCCCGTGGGGTATGGCTGAGCCAACGCACGCCAGTTCGGCGCATTGCTCAACCCAGTGGAGTCTTCGGCCCGGTCTAATCCCTGACTTTACATTGCCACCCCTGTAAACAAAAGCCTTCGTACAAACACAGTTCCGTTCCAGGTTGCCCGGAGTTGCTCTCAAAACGTGACCAAACAACTTCAGCCGTGTCCTTTGGACGTAGTGAGTGAAGGGGGTTGGTCGGCCAGAGCTTTGACTCCCTTGTTGCGAATGGTCTGCGCGTGGGGGTTGTCGGTGAGACCTTTGGTGTACAAGATGGCTTTGATCCGCTGGATCTTGCGAAGTGACTGTGAATGAAAGGCCTCAATCCTGTGGAGAGCCTTGTGGAGAGGTCCGTCTTGCTCGAGGAATCGGATCTCAGCCTAACTCCTAGGTAGTTGGCCTGAGTAACCTGTTTGAGGCGTTCTCCAGTGAGGAAGTAGACGCTGTTGACTGCAGCCTGTGAACGGGGCAGCTCGCACTTCTTGTAGTTCAGGGTAAGGTTGCTCTGAGCAGCCAGCCACTTCCTGAATGATCCTGAATGGTGTGCAGTATCAACTGTCCTCTCGCGGCGGTGAGTCTGAAACTGGCCGTGTCATCTGCGGATGCCAAGTCGTAGAAAGGGTGGTTTTGGCTGAAATTCAATAGCCATGGCAACATTGGCCATGCTTCTGGAGGGCCTCGTCGACGTCGGCCATGGTCAAGCTGTGCACCACCAAGAACAAGTAAGGGGGAAGCGGGCAGCCCTGCCCAATCCCCGAACTGGCCTGTGAAGGTGGCTGGCTGGTTTGTCCGGCGGCCCGGACTAGACGTAGATATAGATATATCTGCTGTATGTGCGCACGTATGCCTGCAAGCATGCGCACCACGTATGCATGTGTGTACGCCCGTACGACTGCAGCTCGGGAGGCACAAACATGCACGTCTATCAATCAGTTCATTGTCAATCTCAAGCTTCCAATTTCAGGCAACTGGACTTCGTATCACTGGACCCAGAGTAAGGGATACGAGTGTCCCGGCTCAACACTTCTCCGAGTGGCCACGAGGAACATAAGCGTTGTCGAACAGCACGTGGCGCCACGTGAGCCTCGCACAGCTTTGTGCACTCGAATGCAGTCCATGACGCCTGCTCATCCATGCCCTCAAGGCTTCGCTGAAGCTCGCAGACAATTACAAACCCGCGCTGCGCACTGCACCGGACGAAACGAAATTCTCCCTGAATTTGTTAATTCATCGCTGGAAAAGGTATTTCTTGAAGTAAGAGCGCTCACGCCATCGCGAGGGTAGTAATTACTCAGCGATGACATCCTAGGAATAACTCCATATGCATGGTACAACCTCTTGCTTGTGCATGTGCTCCACCGGGTTTGTGGGATTCTCCCTGCACCCGAGGGTTGAGGGGTAGTGCGGCAGAGTGGCCGCCGCGCGACAGGCGCAGCTATACACCCATCCTCGGTTTGCATGCGGATCAAAATACGCCAGGCCTAAGGGCTCTCAAAGCGTCACCATCCAAATGAATTCTGAACAGCAGCGGACAGCTTTCCTCACGCCTCGTCGACGGGCGCCTCACAGAAGCAGACCCGTGAGATGTTCATGCAGATTAATGCAGGCTGAGAAGGTCCCACATGTTCGCTCTGTAAGATTGATTGACGTCGAACCCTGATCCAAAAAACAGAAAGACGGAGCCAGCCCGTGTCGTTAGGAAAGCAAGTGGTTCAAAGTGCTCCCAGCGACGAGAGATGAAGGCGATTGCCGCGCCGGCAACAAAAGCCGAGGTGAAGGCCTCGGCGCAGCTTGCAGGCTTCACCCAGTTGCCGGCGACGTCTTGCACAGGGCATATATCAATGATTATCAAATCATGTCATCGTTTAGCATGAGTGTCATACATGCAGGTGGGGGAATGCCTGTGTGTCTGTGTTTGACACCTCCGGTTAACGTTACTTCAGGGGGCGAAGCTCCAGGACTGTAGGTCCGGGGACCCAATCGCACGGCAATATATGATCTGGCCAGTTCGTCGTGTTGTCACGCCTTGCTGTGACAAGCCATGCCACTCTTTGCGAAATGCACCAGATGGCTCATCCACTTTTGGTACACCATGTCACTATGTGGGCCATGCCGGGATTGGCCGCGATCCTATATTACATCCCAGGCGCCGTGTGCCGTATGCTGCTCCGTTATGAAATTCTAGAGCATGCATGCTACGCACATCAGGTGCCGAACAAAAGGCTAAGTGTGGTGGTCAAGCTGGGCCTTCTGAAATAAGCTAAGCCGTGCACAGAGGAACCACTGTCATAATCGCTGCCTGCACAGAGGCATCGAGCAGCAGCAGCCGCTGTGGCAGCAGCAGTGGCAGTAGCGGTAGCATAGCAGCAGCAGCGGCAGCAGCAGCAGCAGCAGCAGCAGTAGCTGCAGCTGCAGCCATAGCTGTAGCTGCAGCAGCCGTAGCAGCAGCAGTATTTGTAGTAGTCGTGGTAGTCGTCGTCGTGAAGTAGGTCTTGAAAGTCGGGTGCCGTGATTGTGCACAGCGTATCGCTTGACTGACATGACTACGGAGAATTTCGGAGACTTTTGCAAGCCTTGTTATTAATAGAATTCGTGGCAGTTCATGGAACAAGCAGTGTTCCATTGGTTCACGGATTGAGCATACGTTTGAGTCGTACGATGCGTTCACATTGCTTTTGCTCTTTTGTGTGGCTTCTGGGCCGGATAGTAACGTACATCCCCATACGATGTCCCCTGTCCTGGGTTCTGGGTCCGCGGACAAAGCCGATCAACGCTAATTACAGGATACAGCTTGCCTTTGAGATCCAACCACCGGTGCACTGCCAACGATTTATTTCGCGGACTGTACCCACGGAATGTTGCGATTTTCAGTGGCCTCCCAGCCTTTCAGCGAAGACAAACTTCGCCGAGAAGCTCCACTTTGAGAAACTGGGGAGCTCAATTGCCATCGAAGAAACCAATTTCGAAATCGACCCGCAGCCTGAGAATTTATCTTTTCGGACTATTAGAGCTGTATAGTTCGGAAATCGACGAGGGTCTCTCGCAAATAGCCTGCTTCTGATCCAGCGCATTTCCGGAAGAATACATGTAAATCGCTACAAGAACAGCAGCCAGAGGACGTCATAAAAAACAACCGCTCCAAGGATACATTTTTCAAGACGACACTTTAAGTATGACCGATTCCGATACCCGCAAGTGATACTACGCGAAGTTAGAGCATGTCCTAACGTGCCCGCCTTGCCCATCTTCCTTTTCCATATCCTTGGCCAAGCAGCAGAGGCTTCCAAGCAAAGACCCAGAGTGACTACTCTCAATCAATCAATGTTAGGGTGAGAACATAAGTCTGCCAAGCTTCATAGGCGAATTCGCTATCAGGTGGCATTTCAGAAGACACGACATGCTGCGGACCTGAGCGAATAAATGCTTAAATGCCCAGCCCAGCCAAGCAAACCTTCGGTTGCCTTCGATCCTTTCGTCGTTCTTGAACATGTATGAATGGTCTGCGGTGCTCACGAGCATAAGGCTCTGACACGATGTGCCAACCGAAAAGGAAGTGAAGCACCACCTGCATAATCAGATACTCAAGCATGAGTTTTTGCGCAGGCTGGATTGATTAAAATGCCGGCTGGTTGGGTCACTTGTGTCCCTGGCACGTCACTCCGGTTCAAGACATGCGAACCCATGCGGTGGCCAGATCATGCCCATTGCGCGCTGTCCTGACCCCCTGTCCGCATGAACTCCACTGTTGGTGAGGAAGGAATTGGTTTGAACTCTCTCCACTGGACGCACCTGGATAGGGAGCGGTTGGGGACTTGTCGCTGCTCGCCACCTGCTGGCTTGCACAACAGCAGCTGTCACTCGCCACAGTTGCAGTGACTGACTGTGCCGCACCGGCTGTGGATTTGACAACGGACCAGCTTTGTTTCCGGCCAAGCCACCGTGCCGCCTTTGTACCAGGACAGCCACAGCCAATGCACTCAGGCCTTGCCGGGCATGGCTCACACAGATCTCTTGGAAAGTTGGGAGGCATTGGATGTGCTGCCATGCATGAAAGTAAGATCTGCACAGGGGTGAGAAGTACAGTTTGTTTGAAAACCCTCTGGCTACATTGATAGAAGCCGAGATTCTCAATAGAAATGCCACCGGCAAAAACCTGCCCAGGGCAGAAACTGCAAATCGCAAAATGAAGTCAAACAAAAGCGGAATGCCAACTCAGCCCCTGCTACAAATGGTCACCGTCAGACTTTCTGAGACAGGCGCCTCATCCGACGCACCATGGCTCCGAAAGACCTTTTTTTGCTGATCGACACCTTGCATACATGTGCACATGCAGCGCAAATTCTTAAATCGCGAAGATGCTGCACTCCCGGCAGGTGCCCAAGCTTTCCGGTTGAGACGTCGTCGCCAAGCAAGGTTTTCGCTGCACATTTCACTTTTGCAGCGAAGCTTCTGTACGGAAAACGGAGGCCATGGCCTGAGGCCCACATTGCACACAGCACCGCAGACTACCACTTTGCCTGCCCAAAGCCCGATTCCAGAATTCAAGCACAAGAAAAGAGGGGCACAATTAACGCAATCTTTACACCGTAGGCATCCGCCTCTCCGAGTCTTGACGAGCCCTGTTCCTCGGGCCGGAAGTTAGAAAACCGAGCCTATAAGGTGAATCAGAACATTGGCCTGGCGACTGGCGACACTTTCAACCGGGCCCCACTCCAAGAATCTCGGCCCAGCTGCGCTCGCTATGGCCGAAGCGCTGACCTGGACATTCGGCGAACCACGGGGAATCTGCCTAGATCGGAAGCTTGCTGTGCTTGCGTGTTGGCGTAACTCCAATCAAGGTACGTGACAAGCGGCCAGCAGATGACAAACCCTTGGGCGAGAGACCTAGGGACCTTGGGGAGAGAAGGATGGCCACTATTCCCAAGGCAGTACTTGCTCCACATGCACACTGATTTTCAAGTTCATCACCTTGCCTGACAGGTGTGTTGCGATGTGCGTCTAGATGCCTGACCGGTCGCAGAACTAAATTGTCTGCCGAGCCCCGGACAGCAAGGTAATGAAGGCAGCTCAGAGCCAGATTGGCGGCCGAATGCTGTGCAGGATGTCCGTTGCAAGAGGCTGTACTAGTAACTAGTACCATGTGCTTGTTTGCTTATGCTGCCGAAAATCTTATCTAAGACTGGCCTGACCGGACAAGAGAGAGCCTTAGCTCACCCAGCCCTCTCGATATGTGCAAAAGCCAGAAAAACCTGCGGATAGATGCGGCCTCTGGCAAGCCATGCCGCCTGAGCATGTCGAAATCCAGGGGCGCTGGCCGGCAACCACTGGTAAACAACGGAGCGCTGGACAATAGCAAATCACACACCCGTCCCACAGATCCCCACAGATCATTGCACTGAATCTGCATGAACGTCGGCAGCTCGTGACGACACCCAGCCTGCCAGAAGCCACGATCCTGACCTCAAACTGCTACCGCAACACGGTAGCCGTCTCGGGTCGCTGAGACTCTTCGACTTGAACGCTCCATTAGACACCTAAAGGGACCTAAAGCCTACCGGCTCGGAATGTCGACAAGCTCCCTGCAATTCGCACGTGGGGGATTCGGGCACACTTTCGGGCACGGCCTAAGCAGCTGCAAAGCTGGCGCTGAGCCCCCTGGGCTCAGGCCGGCGACAGCGACCGAGCTATGGTACGGACCTGGCCCTGCAAGCCACATGCACTCGACCCCCGACTCAGAGAAGTCTTGAATGACAAACCCTGCTTCCAGCTGTGACAGAAGAGAAGGATTTCAGAGGGACTCCCACTTCGCTGAGACTGCTTGGCTCGAATGCCCCGGGCCCAACTCCGGAGAGTCTGCATGCTGGCCAATTCCAGGAGATTCTCCCAAGAGCATGCAACACCCCAACCACCAATCGAGCAACATATACCTTTCTGCCACACTGTGCCTTGAGGTGTTTTGCAAAACTAGTGCCAAGGGAACAGGACAGTAATAAACAGACATCAGCAACGCCCGTAATGCGTCCAGCCTTGTTCAAATGGACCCGCGCGGTAGCATTACGACACGCCTGCCGGAAGGGTTCAAGGTGCGTCGGCACATGTGCGAAGATCGGAAGGGCGAAAGGAAGCTTCACGCCCAAATGTACTGCCCTGGAACGAACCGGCTGTCTTTATGTATTCTTATGTCACCAAAGCTCTTACTTATCTTATACAAAGGCTCTCACTGACTAACCCCAACCATGCATGCGGCACACGGACGGCTCGGCAACAAGTTCTGGCTGCTTTACAAGGCCTCCAACAAACTCGAGAGACATAGCCAGCTCTAACTTGCAATGAGAATCAAGCATGGTCCTCCTGATCTTGTGGACGAGGTACCGGCCTTGTTCTATCATGCTGAAAGCAGGTATGACAGGATCTTTGGGCTCACGAGGGGCGTGTGCGCAATGCAACCGAACCAGTCCAGCACCATGTCAAGCACACGTTCTTCCTCGCGGAGGTCTAACGGAAAAAAAATGTCTCGGCAGCCCCATGGCACATGTCTGCCGGTCTCCATCACACCCGAACCTTCTCGTCGTCCATTGCTATGTCAGCTTCTGAAGTTTGTGTTCTTCAAGATTTTCGTTGGCAGCACCACCGTGGGCTCCATCATTCGTGTCGCTGAGTGAAACTACGAACTGCCGACATCCGCCAGCAGGACGGTAGCAGGGCTCCTGGTTCGTGCCATCCACCCACCTCCCTGAGCCGCTTGCTAGTTACACTACAACCTCAAGGGCGCCTAGTTGACTCTATGTGATCGCGAGCCGATTGCATTGCTCGGCCTGAGGTGCTATGTGCAGACGGACTTCAGTGGATGAGCAGAATCCGAGCAGAATCAGCTCAGCCGCACCGCAGTGAAACCTGCTTTGCAGGTGCTTTAGCCTAGCTTTGAAACTTGCCGGCAGCCCAGCCAGCGCCATTCATCAGCAGGCTGGTGCATCGCATGCATCCCGTGCCCTATCTTACTCAGCTAGGGACACCTTCGGGATATCCTCTCGCTTCTTCCATGAATGGCTGCGGCACAAAGCTATCGGCGGAACTGGTAGGGGTGATCCTCACACCAAGCCGGACAATTAAATCTTCATTCGGCCTGTGGGCATCGACCTCCTCTCTTGCAGGGCGGGAAGCTGAAGGTTTTTGCCATGACACTTGGCTTTGGCACTGCGGTCAACGACATCAACCTTCCAGCTTCGGACCTGTCGTGTCAGAAATGCTGCAGGGTTTAGCCTGCGACACTGATCTGTGTGACATTCTTCCTGTCTGGTATCTGGGAAGTCCCCATCCAGATTAAGCCCGCAGCTCCGTTAATGTCGTGACATGTTGTTTCCCGGGCCGCACACGAAGGCTTGGGCGATGGGACCTTCCTCACTTCCTCCAACGCCACATCACTAATGTGAACGATGAGGTTCTCCACAAACTGTGTGCTCAAGCGGGTCTGTCCGGGAACTTTCCAGCATGGAAGCAATTGCCGGATAGCCGAGGCGAGCCATGGCCAGAACAAAGTAACGGAAGACTGCAGCCTCAAACCTGCACACTTTTTCGAGTTATGGTCGAATGATGTCGGTAGACAAACGAGGTGAGGGCAGTGCCTCGGCGCCTCGGCTCTGGATTCCGAGCTCTTGCTGCTGAAAAAGGCTTCGACAAATTCCTAACTTATTTCTTCCGATTTTCGCCGCATCTCTCAGAAAGCAAAGTTGGAGATCCTCTCTTCCAACACCTGCGGGCCAAGACCGAAAAGGTGACGGTCGGGACCTCTTTGCCTGATGAGCTCTGAACCGCTGCCCCGTTACGACGTCAGGCCCTGCAAATGCCTCGAGATCCGCGGTCAGGAGAAGTGTTTTTTGTAGAGTTCCCTGGACAAGCGGTTCTCCTGCACAGGTAGCTCGAAACCCTGCAGGTCTGCAGAAGTGAATGGATTGACCTTGATCCACTTCTCCAGTTGGTCCATCATGGGAAGTGCCTCTGCCTCAGCTAAGCTGCCGTTTCTGGAGCATTTCCAAAATGCGCAACATGTACCCTGAACAGTGCCAGCCATCCCTGCATACCCCAAGAATATAAACACCAAAGACGGTCGCCACCAAAACTCAGTGAAAAGGGAAACGCTTTTTCCAAGCAGAGGCAGCGCTGATTCAGACGTAAACACCCTTGACCTCTTGCGGTGTGTGACTTGCCAAGGCCAGCTTTCACAACACTCACCGGTACGGGTCAAGGAAGGCTGGACAGTGGGGCAGTGGGGGTGCAGGGCAGGTGAGGCAGGTACAGTAGGGGCTCAAAGTGAAAGCCCAGGCACTGTCGCTCCCGGTGCTGCTTCAGATATCCAGCGGTGAGTCTGGGCACCCTCCGCCGTGAGGCGGACGTGGACATCCTTCCTTGGTGCAAGACTTCGACGAAAGCAGGAGAAGGAACCGTCGGAGGAAAAACTTCCTGGGTCCTAGTGGGTCAGAGACATGTTGTCAGTGATGTGCTCAGAGTAGTCAAGGCAAGCTAGAATCTCATCTTCATGCTGACACTTGTTGCGAGTTTCAGCAGCAAAAAAGCAGAAAGCTGGTTGGCCTGTGCCGGCCGGAAACTGCCAATACACCCCCACAACGAGCGCCGCAACCGCAGCCGCGCGTGCTGCAGCAAAGTTCGCTATGGTTCACCGTGCACACATGGTCTTTGACATGTCAGAAAGTACGACTTCCACAGCTGACAAATGCACGCGTAATGACGAAATATATTATGTAATTGAAGTCGCTAGCGGTAGTAGCCTTAGTAGTAGCAGTAGCAGGAGAAGTAGCAATAGCAGTAGTAGCAGTAGCAGCAG